TCCCCAAAACCCCAAAACCCCGTGAAGTAAAAATTAGCATATCTTTTATATTAGAGCATAGAATATATTATGTTAAATCAAATGATAATAGGAATTCCAATAAATAATATCATTATTGGCATGGAAATTAACATCATCTCCAATCTGATATCTACCAGGTATTTTTAGCAATATTATATTCTCCGAATTTCTTTTCGAATGACATAAAGTAAAAAATAGTGGTATTCTTTTTATGTTTATATTCAACTGGGTCATCATATCTTATGAATTTTTTACTGATAATCGTCTAGTTTGACAATATAAATTCTTGTTTTAGTGTTACAGCCTCAGTCTTAACATTCTTAATACGAGGAATATCATGATCAAATAACTTAACCTGACTAGAGAAGCCTTTACCCCTACCTCCGAATATAATACACTTTTTATCTGAGGTCTGGGCAACACAAGCATTGATCATTGATTAAATCAGGTAAATATCTAATTTCTCCCACTTAAGCATCTCACCGAGATGAAGTCTCTCGATTCTTTTGCTCTCTATTTATAATCTACTGAACCGAGAGCCTCCAAAGGCATAAAGATATCCTTTTAATACTGCTAATCCTGCCTCAGTGTTGGTGATGTTCAATTGAGGAATCTAATCCCATAAGTCTGCTTTTATACTATATCTGAAGCAAGACTTAACAGATTTATGTGTTCTTGAGTTATTCCCACCAACCATATATAGATGATCTTCGTAAATAATGACAGATGAGTAATATCTTGGCTCTATCAGATCTCTCAATCTTTTTACTCTGTGATTGTATTTGACTATTGGTCGGGCATCAATCGTAATCAGTTTTTGTCCTGAATTATTATACCTTCCTCCAACTACATAGAACAGCAGATTCTTCATATCATATATCTTGCTTGAATAGAGATCAAAGGGTTACTCTCCTTCAATATGAGCCCAGTCATAATTCTTTGAACCTACAGAGTATATTTCAGCTAAAGTTTCGCTTTTAATTGCTAGAAATTTAGGATATTCATACATGTCTGGAATGAATTTGCACACCTGGGGTATGATGATGTTATACATTTTCTAGCATGTACCCTGAAATCTAATCATTTATCTTGGATTCAAATATTCTAGGATTTCAAATAGGCAATGCGACTTAAACAGTTATGTCCTTATATCTCCAGTCTACTAATAGCTATTTGACCTCTCCATTAAGTTAATATTTCTTTATGCTATTTTAATAAATGTTTTAAAATTTGATAAGAATCCTATTTTAAATCTTGAATCATTAAATTTTCAAAATTAAAATGCCTAGGGGTTTTGGGGTTTTGGGGTTTTGGGGTTTTGGGGTTTTGGGG